TAATTTCTTATATATCATTATAAACTTAATAATTAATTTTGACAATTTTCCATATTCTTTCCACACATGTCTTCTTTTCACATTCAACTAACTTATTTACGTTTTATTTACATCATCCGATTTTAACAAATTTTCACTGAACTAAATTTCAGTATTAATTTATTTGTTTTAATATTTAATTTAATACTATTTTACTAACTTTTTATATACATTTATATTTTTAACCATAAATTTAATTTGTACATGTTTTGCATTGTTTTCACTAACAAAGGTTTCTCGTTATTTTCTTAATAATTTTATTACACATTTAATATGCATTCTAATTTTATAAAAATATTTCATGCTATTCTTATTTTCATAGGCTCTGAAGATGGACTTCCCGAAACAGCGCTGTTAGCCTTACCATGTCTATTGTTTTAAATAAATACGAGTTTAATAAATTCAGACTTGTTGAGTGTTCATTAAAGAAAGTCATTAATGCAAAATGGGCATATATCTTCAATGATGTTTGTATTAAAGAAAACCTCGTTCCGAAATATATATATATATATATATATATATATATAGTTATTTGTTTTATATTATATTTGAAAAATTGAATTTTAAGCAACCATTTTACAATTGAAATTGAAATAGATACCACGATTTGAATTTGATAAGATGTCTAAGCAATGATATAACGCTTTTACTTAACAAACAAGGAACCGATAAACAGGCATAAAATAAAAAATATTTTATCATCTTGGCACGACCACAACTTATATATATAAATTGTGGTTGTGCCTAGATGCTCAAATATATATATATATATATATATATATATATATATATATATATATATATATATATATATATGCATGCAACAACAACATGCATTATGCATTTAAGTCATTAAACACATATACGAATTACTATTCCAAAATTGATCTAATCATATAATATGTACGTACAATGGTGTGGATACAAAAACGCTGCCTTTCATAATTATTAAATGTATTTGAAGGGTGTGTTTATAAGAATCAATCGTCCTGCATTAGACGTTAGTTGTAGTCAACTGAAATTATAAAAACAAAAACATCCTAAATTTTTTTGCAATAAAAAAATAAAATTAAACAAAAAGGTTCGCTAAAATGGCTACTGCATCAACGTCATCAACTTCAGCTTCCTCAACAAGTGTTGCGTCTCTAACCGAAAACCACGCTAACAAATCAAGAAGCAACTTTTCTGTGTGGGCGAATGAACTAGCTCTCATTGGATCATGCAGTTAGTCCGCTGATTTTCAATAAATTTAACAATTTCCAGAAAATTCTAGTCCGCTGATTTATTATTATTTACAGTTATTTACGTTTATTATGATTTTTATAAAATGTGCAATAAAATATTACTTTACAACTGAACAAAATATCCATCGTTTATATTACACGCATTATTTTAATTTATTCAACAAAGGCAAGTAAATTTTCACAGTAAACATTTTACAAATATTGAATTTTTGTTTTTGCTGAAATAATCAAATTATTAATTTATCTAAAACTATTAATTTAATTTTTCAAATAAAACCTTTATCAATGTTGCATGTGTATTGTTTTTTCGCTACCTGAAATTTGTGGTGACGAATTAAAAGACAGCATTTTTTAAAAACAAATCTCTACCCCATGCCCACATTGAATTGACGGAAATGTTTAATAATGAGCTTAAGTTTTTTGGTTAAGTTTCTCGAAATCAAATAATAGTCATCCAAGTTTCTCGAAATCAAATAATAGTCATCCATGTTGTGAGAATTCAAAGCCCACCGCAGCAAACGGTCATTGAAAAACTGAAAGTCGACGTTGAACAATTGTAAACCTACTACAAATAAATATTCACGACACCATGACGTTAAAACGATAATGACATCCAGAACAAATGTAATTAATAGCATAGGATGATTGATCAAATAATCATTCACAAACACATAAACATTTGTATGAACATTCCATGTCAACAGTTCTGCTGTTGGGAGCACTAATCGGAGTGGCAGGGCAGTTCAGAAACTGGCAATGTGCAGCCGTATCAATGTAAGCTCCAATTTTATACAATCTTCTTTCAACAGTACGATAAGAAACAGCTTCCATGAATGACAACAACAAACAACCACAAACAAACAACATAAAACAATAACAAACAAATAAACCACAACAAACAAACAGTAACAAAAATTCAAAGAACATCCTCAAAAAACAACAAGTTCAGCAACCAAACAAAAAAACATCAGCTCGAAAATTAACTAATAACAATCCAAAAACAGACCAATTTCGATAGTGTTCATTTTCATAGAGTACCCTCGTTGCAGAGGAGAAATGAGGAGGTTCGTTTAGTTGTCGGAAATTCATCCATCGTTTGTTGTTGAATGTTCATCCATCGTTTGTTGTTAGATGTTCATTCATTGTTTGTTGGTGTTGAATGAGTTTTTTCTGTTCAGTGTATAAAAGTTTATTCTTAAAATTTAAAAAAAAATTTTGTAGTTAGAGCAGTGTTAAAATGTTAATTATAAAGAATAATGACGAGGACAAAATTTTAAACTCTATTTCAACGTTAACTTACTAAAGGAAATAAATATTTCAATCAAATAACTAAGGTAAAATGACGTAGCTGAAAAATATATTACTCAATTACGAAGAACCGGAATGAACGTGAACTTATATATATATATATAATATATATATATATATACATATATATATATTATATATATATATATATATATATATATATAGCATTACAGAACCAATCAAGTTGTTTGTTTGGGCTTAGTTCTTCAAGATAATTTGTCATACGGTTATCACATTGAAAATCTTAAATCAAAAATCAATAAATTCATCGGTATACTTTATAAAATAAAAAATAAGATTAACTCCACAATATTAAAAAATTTGTATTATAGCTTTATATACCCTTATATTCATTATTGCGTGATCATATGAGGAAATAGTCCTGCTTATCAGCTAGATCCCCTGTTAAAATGTCAAAAACGTTTTATAAGAATTTTATTCGATTTGAAATTTAATGACCACACCTATAATTATTTTCAGATTGCAAAACTACTTTCAATAAAACAAATTTATTACACATGCATCTCAATATTTATATTTAAACTTATTAACAACTTAATTCCAAAAAATTTTAATAATTTGTTTATTTATAGAAACGCAAGAGAACAAGATATGAAGATATACGAGAAAAGAAAGGGGCACGAGCAACTAGACGAGCAGCAGAGTTAAAAGCTTTACTTAAAGGATAGAGTATAGAGTCAGGAAGACCATAGTAGAGCGAGTTACAATAATCAATCCTAGATAAGACTAACGAAGTAAAAAGAAGGAGAAAAGTAGGAAAAGGCAAAAGTTTTTTTATTCTACGTAGATGAAAGTAAGAGCTTCTAGCAATACTATTAATCTGTTAATCTGAGAAGAGAGAGACATAGTAGAATCAAAGATAAAACCTAGACTACGAAACTTATGAGAGACATCAAGAGTTTTAGAATCAGGTAAGATAATAGGAGGAATAGTAATAGAGTGTTTAGATTTATTAAAACAAATTAATTCAAACTTAGAAGGATTAAGTTTAAGACACATAGAGTCAGACCAAGCGATAATTGAAGAAAGACATAGAGATAAATTATGAAGAACACTATTGAGATTAGATGGAGGAAAAGAAGTATAAATGTAAGAATCATCAGCATATAGTTGACTAGAGAAAGAAAAGTTATTAATAATACGAGGTAGTTCAGAAGTATAGAGTATAAATAGAAGAGGGCCAAGGATTGAACCCTGAGGTATCCCGAAAGTAAGAGTAGAGGAGTTAGAAGTAGAAATATTGAGAACAACAGAAAAAAAAACGATTACAGAGATAAGAAGAAAACCAAGATAGACAAGAATCAGTAATAATAAAAGAATGCAGCAGTCTCAAGAGAATAGTATGGTCAACAGTATCAAAAGCCGAGGAAAAGTCAAGAGCAAGAAAAAGAGTAAGATTACTATTGTCACTAGAGAGAAGGATATCATTGTGTATTTTAAGTGAAGAAGTTTCAGTACTGTGAGCAGGTCTGAAACCAGATTGAGATACAGGTAGCAAGGAGTTGAAGTCTAAATAGAATGACAGTTGATTAAAAACTACTTTTATATTATTTTAATATTAGTTACAGGTATATAATTAGATAAAGAGGTAGGATCTAAGGATGAGTTTATAAGAATAGGAATAACAATAGAATTCTTATAAGAAGTAGGAAATTTAGAGGTGGAAAGAGATAAAATAACTTAATTTAAGAATGATTGGATAAAGTATTGAAGAAAATTCTTCAAGTAAATTAGAAGGAAGTAGATCTAGAGAACAGGTTGTAGACGACATAGAATTAATAATTTTAGTTAGTTCTAAAAGATTTATTGGAGTAAATACAGAAAAAGATTCAGTAGTAAGTTTAGTAAAGTTATGAGAAGAAAAATTAGAATTAGATGTTCTTAAAGAAGTAATTTTATTTACAAAAAAGTCATGAAACTGTTGAGCAGAAAAAGATGAGTGAGAGGATTTTTTATGTAGAAGTTTATATAGAACAGACCACCTATTTTTAGATGTTGAAGCAGATGTTATAGAATTTTTAAGAAAAGTAGAGTGTTTAGAGAATAGTAGATATTTATAATTAATCAATTCAGATTCATAGATAAAATAAAGAGAGTTAGATGGATTTAACCTATAGGCTTTCTCCAGTCGTCTAACACTTTTCTTGGCTACTACACAAGCATAATCAAACCAAGGAGCCTTACGAGAATAGAGCCTATAAGTAAAAGATTTAAGAGGAATAAGCTTATCAAGAATAGAAGTAATGTAGATATTAAAAGCATAGAAAAAATCATCAACATCAGAAAATAAGGTAGTATCAAAAATAGTTTCAGTAAGAGATTGAAGAAAAATATCTTTATTAAGAGAAGACCAGCATCTTTTAGAAATAGACATAGATGAATTTGAAGGAAGAAAATCTAATGAAAAACAGATTCAATAAGAAGGTGATCAGAATAAGGAACAGAGCTAGCAGAGATAAAGCTATAATAAAATCAATAGTGTTACCAGAAGTATGGGTAGGAAAAGAACAATATTGAGTTAAGTTAAAAAGAGACAAAATATCATTAAATCTACGAGTGTAAGAACATGATAAATTATTGAAGTGCAAGTTGAAATCACCAGAGATGTAGAAAGGAATAGAAAAAGAGTAGAGAGATTCAGCGAGTGAGTAGAATTTATCTAAAAATAAAGTGAGAGAAGAAGGAGAGCGATAGATTACAGCAATATAAAAAGATAGAGAAGAAGACTTAAAAAAAAAAGAGATACAGCAAGACATTCAAAAGAAGAAAAATTAAAGGAAGTATTAATGGAAGCAGTAAATAGATATTTATAAAATAAACAGATACCCCCATAAGAAGAATGAGAAGATGATAGAAGATTTTTTGGAGGTCTAGAGAGTTCAAGGAAGCTGTAACCATCAGGAGTAGCAAGAATAAGGGAGGGAAAGTGAGTCCTCGTGTCAAGTTTAAGTAAGAGTAAAAAAATCAGGTAAGGAGGAAGAGATTATTTGATGGATATAGAGCGATTTTTTATTAATTGATCTTATGTTAATATTAAATAGTGAAAATGTAGAGGTAGACATTGATGTATCGACGTAGAAAAAATCTGAGTTAAAAAATCATATTATTAAAAAGGTGCACCAACAGAGATCGAGGATGAAAATCAGCCTTTACTGCACAAATAAGAGCTGACTTGTCACAAGAATAATGTTGTCCCTTATGCTGGGACAAAAAACGTTGATTAACAGATTATGCCCCAACCACGCAGTCATAAAATTGAAGAAAAGCGTTTTTTATAAATTTTGACTTCTGTATGATGACAAACCGTTCATGATAAAAAATTTGAGCTTTAAAATGCATATAAGCTAGAGATGAGAAACGAACCTTTTTTTATAACGTTTGAGTTCAGTTTGGTAAGATCTAATGTTCGAGTTCGGTTCAGTTCGGCTGCGGGTATAGTTCGGGTTGAGTTTGACCTTGTTTAAGGTTCGGGTTCAATTCGGCTTAATTAAGCAATAACAACAACGATGATTATCTCTGATACTATTTATAGTTACAGCACATGAATTTAAAACTTTAAGTAGACGCCAAAAAACTAAAAAATGTATTGTAATTTCTTAAGCTTAAATTATAAAATGATAATATACAAAACTAAAAACAATAATTGTACTCAGCGGTTTCAAAGTTCTGTTCAGTCGTCAATAGGGTTTTGGGTTAGGTTGTAAGTAGAGTTCGGATTCGGTTCGTTTCCAAGCTATAGTATAAACCCCAAGTTGTAGTATAAGTGGCAACATCAAATAGTTGATAACTTAAAACGTTGTCTCTGCAAGATAACTTTATACTCTTTTTTCACTGAGCACTAAAATAAATTTTTGGCTCCCCCCGTTAAAGTTGTCTATATCTAGATCCGCTACTGCGCGAGCCTATTCTGAAATCTTCATGTTACTTTTTACGGTCAACTTAGTGGTTTCAGACTACTGAAAACACGTTAAATGACATCTAGAGAGCTACTCATCAAATTAGTGATGGCATTGTGCTAGGAGCAAATGGCATATTCCTATCAATTCTTTTGCAACTTCGAAGTTAGTGAGGGTCACCTGTCTCATCCATGATGAAATGGTCGGTGATATTATGCGGCAATCATTATAATATGCTTTTTGCTTGCGTTTTGAATCAAGCCTTACATGTCTTAACGATGATGGATTTAAAGAAACCCAACTATTAGAAGCCTGAATATAAGATATGCATTTTATCAATATGCGTTTACCTGATTTTGAAAAACGTCGTTAACTTCAAGGGAATGGTACACATTAGTTCCAAAGATTAAAATTTTGAATCTAAAAATGCCTGCCAAAATAATGTTAGCATAAGAATGAGATGCTATCTATCGTATTTTAAATAATGATATTCGTTATTTAACGTTGTAGATATCAAAGACTGTTCACAAAAGTGCTCATCAAGGGTGGTCCATTCACGGAATATTTCTGGCCTAGAGCGATCCTTTTCTTCTTGTAAGTTGTCTGTGTTAATCGCGCGGTGTCTCATTTTAAAAATCATTTACACAAATAGAACGCCTATGGTAAACGAAAAAGTGCCGAGCGGTGTTCACGGAGCAAAAAAGTTCTGGTTACGAGACGTTTTAAATAAAACCTAGTCTTATTATTTGTTACATTAACTTAGAGAACTCAAAAATAAAATCGAATAACTTCTCACATACTTCAAATGCTATGATAAAAACATTTTTTAAAAATTAATTTTGTGTTTCGTAAATAGATTTAGCTAAATATAACATAATTGATCGCTTTAAGAAAAATTCAAACAGATTGTGCGCACCAACATTCTGCCTCCTACCGACATTCATAGGTGGGTTGACGGTATGCATATCAGCACTCTTATATTTGTTGGTTAGTTATCATGGATCATTATTGTCGTTTGCCTAGTTATTTTATTTAACTGATTCATAAAACAACTTCAGCACACCGAACAACATAGGCGTCTTCATCTGACGAACAGTAGCAGGCGCACAACGCAATTTAAATAATTATAACATCTCACACGCAGCTCGCGCCCCTGCAATGCTCGACATACATTCATATATATATATTTGCATAAGATTATATTTATAGTATGCTTATATATATATATATATATATATATGCAATCAGCGCGTACCACAATATGATATATTTACATATATATCATATGCACATATAGATATATTTACATATAAGCAATCACTTCGTACCTATATATATATATATATATATATATATATATATATACACACACATTAGATGTTGTATGTTTTGAAACGTAGATATTTACACATTTGTATTGAAATAAACGTTACATATATCTGCTTTTGTTTAATTTAATAAAGATAAATTAATTTAATATAGCAACGTTGGAACATATTTGAATATGTTGCTTAGCATAGAAACAATGAATTTTTTTTTAATAAAAATACATTCATATTCCTGCATACAATACATATCGATATACATAGCAAACGTTATGTGGATGCAGTCACGTTGTATTCGTACGTCGTGTGGCCAACGAACGAGTGCTGTTTATCTTTCACAACTTGGGCGCGATTTTAAACAATTACGCAATTTTAAACGAGGAGCGTTTAGTATACATCCCTTTCTGTTTTGTTGTCGAGAATGTTT